CTGTACCTTCAAAAAGCGGTTACAACGCCTCTGCGTACATACACAGCACAGAGCACTGAAGACACGTAGTTGGGGCAGCTTCTCAGTATAATACACCAAAATTGCCAATTGAAAAAATGTCACTTAAAAAAAAAAAAAAAAGTATATTTAAATAGTATTTACACAAAATTCTTTTATATCTATCAGCTAAAGGAAAATCTCTTCTTGAGCACCGCTATATTCCCACCTCCCCGCTTCCTTTTTTTTTTTACTGTAGGGAGAATAAAATACAATTTAAAATATTACAATATTATTTAAGACTTCTGCATAAGGTATGGAACCTTGCATGGCTTGGGCTAAGACTGATAATATAAAGCTGTTTCTGGACAACACTATACTAATCCTTACTGTAAATGATTCACTGTAAATGTAACTCTCATGACATGTTACAAAAATGTCACAGGAGATGTTTCCCTACAGAAAAAGAGTGAAAGCATTATTTGCCACAAGAATCCTGATGCCTAACTGAAAAATCTAAAGCCTTCCAAAATGAGAAAGGGAAGAAGCAGTCTTCCAAATCACACTGTCAGTACGTACTTCGATTTCTGTGAAGTGAAAGCATGATGAGCGCAGAGCAGCAAGGCACCCACACAAGCCTCTCTCCAGTCTTTTAGGACTAAGACAACTCAAACAAAGCTTTATTTACATTGCAGATTTACATTTTTACAGTCGGAGGGCCTGATCTTCTGGCCCTGTTCAGAAACCACTGAGCTCAGGGGCTGTTATTAGCGACCACTCACGGAGCGCCCATGCCTCTCCTAAGGCTTTCACCGAGCAGCTTTTCTAGTGCTAATTTCCCAAACTTGGTGGACTGGGTAAGTGCTGCCTACTATTGTCATCATACCCTCATCACTGTCAACATCGTCATCATCTACAACCACTTTTAAAGCACAGTTGCAAAGGAGGATTGCGTCTAAAAGGAGCTGCAAGCAGGGTGGCTCCTTTTCCAGGTTTTCGTCCAATGCACCACTGATTTCTTTTTATGGAGAGCTTAAACCTTGGGCAAAAGATTTAAGAAATCAGTGCTGGATTTGGAAAATGTAGCCTTTCAAACATGTCTGCTGTCTGATCTACAATGAACTGATCGGATACCAAGAAGCTAATTATCTCAGACACTGTACAACCACCCTCAAGAACAAATGTAAATATTCACAATCCTATTTCACAACAAGTGCTGTTTTCTGCATTTTTAAGACAGGCTCACGGTCTCAATGTATCAAAACTAATACGTGTAATACCTAAACTTCTGAAAGAAATCTAAACTACCATTGCCTCCTGCCAGAGGTATCAATACGAACCTCTTCAGCATCACAAGACAATAACCAGCCTAGTGAGCTAACGCACAAACTCAAGGAAGCAGCATTTTACATTTGAAACATAATTTTCAAGTGCAAGTGGAAAAAATCAGTATGGTATTTCTCAGCTGATCAGTGGCCTCTTGTGTTCTCGGTGAAGTTGATTACAAGCTTTGCACTATTTCAGAACAGTAATACCTAGCTTTCACCCGTATGAACCAGGGACCCAGAGCTCTATTTTCTCAATATCACCTTGTATTCCTTCTTTCCACTACTCTCAAGTCCTAAAAATCCTGAGAATGCTCTTCAAATTTCAAATCCAAGCATATCAAACTCATCACCTGTCTTGAAATGTTCAAGGGCCACTTTTGAAAAAATATTTTAGAAAACTGCTAATAAGTTGTTAAAGTTGCCCATCCTGTGAAAACTGACTTCAAAGTAGATATGGAAGAAAACTCACAAGCATTTTCCATTTGGGATAAATTTTTCTGGCTTTTCTTAAGAAATGAAACAAGTTAATCATAGAATCACTCAGGTTGGAAAGGACCTTCAAGATCCTCAAGTCCAACCACAACCTAACCATCCTACCCTCACTCTAACAACCCTCTGCTAAATCACATCCGTGAGCACCACATCCAAATGGTTTTTAAGCACATCCAGGGATGGCGACTCAACCACCTCCCTGGGGAGCCTATTGCAGTGCTTCACAACTCTCTCTGTTAAGAAGTGTTTCCTGCTATCTGTCTTGAAGACTCCACTTTCTGTACTGCTAAGCAAGCAGATGACACAGCTGACAACAAAACAGATGCTGCTTTGCCATGGATGATGGCCCATTCCCTGATCAGTATGCTGAGAGAGTCTCCGTGGAAAGCAGACTGTGGGCCTGGCCCAACAACCTATACTCACATGAGAAACTTTTTCCCACCTTAGACCTTTTCTCATCTTCAAAGTGCCACTAAAATGAATAAGATTGAAAGAGTACGACAACAGTTTCAGTACTGGGGCATACATTGCATTCTTGCTTTTCAAGCATAATCACCATCTTCAGCCAGGAATAAGGCTTAAAAGCATACGTCTCCATTGGAAAGGATATTTGGTTCTTTTTTAAACCTTGGTTACATTATGAATGACAAAAAGTAATAGAGAATGTTACCATCACTGTGGAT